TAGATTCACATAGGTGTGTGTGTGTGTGTGTATTCCATCTAACCCCCACTGGCCGGCAGTGGTATTATGGAAGAACTCTCCCTACAATGTCGCATTTATGGTCATTGTAGACAGCTTTAGTCCGGGAGTTAGAAGGTGATAGCTCTATTGCAGATCCAGCAACCCATTTCAGAATGTCTGGAGAGTCACGCCCATTCCGAGGTTACTTTCACTCACAATAAGCCCCGCATGTATGCATCACCGTTATCAAATGGATATTGGTGATACATACACACTTCCAGGTTCGAAAATATTCTTTTCAACCCTGGCATGTATTTAGTGTAATTTTGATATATTTTTTTTTTAAATAAATGGAAAGCTCTCAGCATATTCTGCTCTTCCGCCGTCGTTATTTGCTTCTTTTGGAATCCCTTGGAGTTTTTCTCTAACGCTTCGTATTTCATTCCGTGCTTCACCGGCAATTTCCTTCCGTAGACCGTCCTTGGTTGGTTGGTTCTAATATGTTTCTGCCTTTTTTGGTCGGTTTGATGTCCACCATATGTTATTGAATTGCCATGGTGATCTGGGACGAGGCTCACGTCCAAAGTCACTGGTCCATCGAGCGCTCCGTTTGCGAAAGGAGAATGAAAGAAATACGAAAGGGATCAGTTTCAAGAAGTTACAGTTTCATCAGATTCCCCAACTAACCATACTCAAGCACAGTAAGAATATACAAGCTATATTGCGACTATATGGTTACTTGGGTACTCATATGGCCGTCAGAATGGTTCATCGGTTGCGAAGTGAAGTATTTCTGAAAGTGATTCTCAATGTTTTGAATTTATCCTAACGTTACCTCAATGTTATTTCACAGACAAGCAGACACAACACATTGAAAATTTATAAATGTAAACCCTACCGCCATCTGTCGTATATACTTTGATGGGCAATACACTCAACAGATGGTTGTAGTGTGTAAACGTCAAACGCTAGGGAATTGATTATGTGCACCACAAATGGCAGTACTACCAACTAAGAAACATTTAAATTGACCGTTAAAAACGATTTTGATGAACGTTTTAAGAGTGTTATGTCTCCTTTTCTGTGATCATACCTTCACTATCGCAACTTCGGGTAATCTGCGAAAGTACTTGCATTTTTCTCAGGCACTTTTGATCTAACTGCAATTACTCTCTCATACTCGAAATGTGCCACGACCAAATTGGCACAACGACGCCCTATACGCTCTCTGACCGAAGCGCAGGGTTTAATGTAGATTCACATAGGTGCCCCCAAATTTTGTTTTTTTTTTTATAATAACTAGAGTAAACAGACTGATTACCGGCAAGTATCCAAATTGTAAAAAATGGCCTAATTTCACCATGGGCGGGATTTTTATTTCTTAAAATTTTGGGCTCAAATTTTCACCACACTTTGGAAAACTCTACTTGATGTGTTTCCAAGGAGGGCAAATGATTTGGACAAATAGTTTTTGAGGTAGGACCAGATTAGTGAGTGGTAGTTCTAAGCTTTTCTGGTGGAAAATCAATGCTATTTAATATTTTTTATTATTTTTTATTTAATTCCTTCACAAACACAATAATATTTTATGTTATTTTTCACATGTTCTGGGTAGGATTCTCATTATATGAAATTGTAACTAACTCATTTATTTACTTCTGTCTATAATTTAATTGTTGTCCTCAAAGTGAAAATACGTTCCTATGGGATACAGTTTTAGAAGTACGATGAAATCAGTTCAATTCTCAGCAAAATGACGTAGGAATTCTCCCTTGAAACTATTGTAAGAATAACATTGAAATTCAATCCAGAACTTTGGCTCTTATTACCGATGTCACTTCACGGCGAAGTGACAACTTATCTCTCACGGTGAAGTGATTCCCATTTGATTTACACAGCATTTCACCGTGAGTGACAAGCAGTCAATGCACTTCGTTTTCACCGTGAAGTGACACTCGTAATAAGGGCCTTCATTTCTTCTCCGCAGAAATTCCATATAACTCATCCAAAATTTCCTTAGGGCTTCATACCAGAATTATGTTAGAATTCTGGTTGGAACTCCTTACATGTTTTCCAAGAATTTTGTAGGAAGTCTTCTCAACATTTTTTTTAAATTAAAGTAACACTAAAATTATTTTTATGTTTTCCTGAAAATAAGGTAATTGTGACAAAATTATTACGAATGTTCTTTCAGCTGTTTTAAACCTGCAAATTTTTCGAAGTCCCACAGCCTTTTTAATTTGCCAGAATCGATCATAATATTTTTTTTTTAATTTGGAAGCATTTTTAAATCCGTAATATTGAGTATTTTTCTACGACTTAACGATTCCGTCATTTTTTTTTCTAAATCTAGCATCACATAAAAATTTTAGAGTAAAAAATATTTACTATTTTAAAATTCTTGTTAGGACAGACAAGGAGTTTTAAAACGTTTTCTGGCTCCGAGATTTGCAACAATTTTCCCTAGCTCCATTTTGATACAAATGACAAGATTTCTTAAACAGTTGGGATTTTTTTTATTATCAAACAAAGTGGGTCGAAGGGTTTCAAAATTTTATGAAATTTTGACCACAAGTACAGTTTATGGTTAAATTTGAAAAAAATAAAATAATAAATTTGGGGTTGTATTTTTTTCGGAAAATTTTAATTGAAGTAATCAGAATTTCCTGGACAACCCATATTTTAAAAATTTATAGCTCATGTACAAATACAAATACATCAATAACACATTTTTTTGTGTGAAATGATAAGGAAATTATCTCAGCAATTAAAAAAAAAACGAATCTAAAAAATGTTTCACGGTTGAGGTAAATTCCAAAGAAAACCAAGAAAAACAATTTTACCATAAATGAAAATTATATTTTCGTGTGTGAAAATTTTTCATCTATCAATGGTGAAAATTTCAGAGCGGTTAACCGTTTATGACCGAAAAACTAACGGTCGATCACGTGCCAGAAACCGAGAAACTTTTGAAATTGCAACCGGGAAAACGGGGAAAACCTGGAATTTCAAAACAAAAATTCATTGGCCACCCTGCGTCTATGAAAAAGACTGTTCGCCCTACTGTACGTCATATTAGCTCATAAGTTACCCTTTTCGCGATTGTCGAACTATGCTTTCTGGAGCTCTCTTCAAAGACCTCAAAATAAGAACGTGGCCAGCGCTGTTTTTGATCTAATCCTAATCTCAAGCTCTCTCGGAGCAGGAGTAACTGCCCCTGGTATAGACATATCGGTTCCTATGGACAGATAGCCAACTGTGTTCCAAGCTGAAATGCAAGCAATTTTAGAGTGTTCATATGTTTGCGTAGAAACTATAAGGGTTCAAATATATGCATAATGTCCAACAGTCAAGCTGCTCTAAATGCTTTAAAGTCGGCGACATGTACATTCAAAACTTGTCTGGGAGTGTGTTCAATCACTTCAAAAATTGTCTTTTCATTCTCAATGCAACTTATATTGGGTTCCTATTCATTGCGGGATTGACGGAAATGAAAGCGCTGATGCACTAGCAAGACTCGGATCTTCTCATAAGTTCATAGGGCCAGAGCCCTTTTTTGGCTTATCGGCTGCATCGTTTAGAATGGAGCTAAAAGCGTGAGAATCCTCAAAAGTGGAGGAAAACTGGAACACAAAATCCTGGAACTTTCTAAGAAAGATCTTAGCATATATACAGGTCATTGTCCAAGCTGTTATCACTTGAAGCTGATTGGAAAACTTCAACATGATGTATGTCGCGTTTGTGGAATAGAAAAGGAAGACTCGGAACATTTGCTATGCCACTGTCCGGCAATTTTCAATAAAAGGCGTAAGTTCTTCGACAAGAGGCTGATAGAACCCTTTGACATTTGGAAAACAACTTCCATTACGGCAGTGCACTTTATTCGAAGTGTAATGCCTTGCTGGAATAATACTATTAGTCAAACAATGGCGATGACTCCTAACAATAGTAATACGGCATCTTGATATACACTCTTAGAAAAATTGATGTAAATTTAGGTGCTTTGAGACTGACATATACGAGCGTCAATTTTGACATAAAGTTGAGTCACAATAGACGTGAAATTCAGCTCAATCATAAGTAATTTCGATCTTTTCAGTCTCGGAGCACTTAATTTTACATGACATGTTTGTTTACGTTACATCCTTTATGTCAAAGATGGATTCCGTCACATGTAAGATTAGGAATTTCTAAGTGTGTAGCTAAAAAAGGGGAATAGATCACAATAGATCAGAAAAATGGTCGTAGTGATGAAAATACCCGACAAGGATAAAAAATTCCCAAGCTCCACCCACTTGATCCCCTGAGCGATTTCACTAGTTCCGATCAATATCTACGAACTGCACTGTTTAAAACAGAACTGATGAAGTTTAGTTTTGCAATTTACAATACTAAATTACAGTTTGGAATTAGAGACTAAGAATCTAACTTTTTGAATGGTGAAAATAATTGTTTAGTGAATCGTCTTTCAGTAAATATAATCCGGACAAATACATTGGACAAACCGCTCCAAAAAATCTCACCACTTCCCAACTGCAATTTCCATACAAACAAAGCTTAATTCGCTTATGCCATGACTAGACGGTGTTACACGATCGGAATGCAAACTGTTCATTTACCAACTCGTCGAGATGCTCTCAGACGAAAGCCCATGTTTGGTTGCATAACTGCTCATCCAGCTTCGTCGCTGCCAGTACCGACATCATCGGCGATTCATTTCGCGTGCTTGCTTCCCACCTTTCGCTGCACCCGCCTTGATCGCGTGGTGTCAAAATCTGCACATGCATGGAGGAGCGACGTGATTACAAAAGAAGTGAATTGAAGTCTTTTTTTTCAGCACAAGCGACAAACCCCTCGTCGTCGGCGTCTGTTGAATGTGTCGCTGAAAATGAAACTAAGCCAATGTGAAATGGATACAACGGACCTAGTTTTCGGTCGTTTGCTTCTATTTCGGTCATCACTTTTATGTATGTCAAATTGGTGGAAATTTAGGCACGAGGTTTTTAGGTTTTTCATTCTTTTATTACATCAAAGTTCCTTTATCCTTAACATCTACAATGGTAAACAAAAACACATCCCTTCGATGGTACAACCACAAAAGGATTATTGGCACTATCGTGGAAGAATAACAAGTGTGTTTTTTTCCTATCGAATGGTAACTATGAAGAGAGAAACAAAAATCATATTCTAATACGATTTGTCGAGATGTTCGTTGTTTAGCTAACACAAAAAATAAAAATCAAATACTGTCCTAATGCCTCAGTGCGTATCATCGTATCGTGAGTCCAAATCCGTCATCCGTTGACTTGAGAAAAAAAAATCGCTGCAGGGTGGTTCTGCAAACGTGCACCATTCACTTAGTTGTGTCCGACCTGGTCAACCTGCGACTGCAGATTGGAGATAACCTCACGTGGGACCTGATCGCCGAGCAGCTGGAACAGATCGACGCGCTGGTCTCCGGGGATGGACTCGATGGCGGCAACCTGGATGCCTTCCTGCACTCCCTGGATGGTGGCATCGCGGGGGATCAGCTGCTGCGACTGGGCCTGTCGGATGGCTTCGCTCGTCAGGGCAGCTCCATCGCGTTCCTGGGGGGCGGCAAGGGCCACGGCGACGATGGCAAGCAGACAGATGGCTACTTTCATTTTTGCGCTGCAAGAAGAAGAAGAGGAGGAAGATGGGGTTAATTGAATTGCTGGCTGAGTCGGGTTGACGTAACACTGTTTCTTTAATTTTGGTTTTCTGTCTCGTCGTTTATGCTGGAGGTGCTCAGCTGTGATGGTTTGGTAACATTGTTGTGCAGCTTGAGTCATTTGGCGCATACGAGTTTTACATCGTTATTAGTGGCGCTCGGTGGGAAGTGTCGGTTAAGGCTACTGTGCGGTTTAGGGTGGTCGGAACAGTTGACGAAAGTGCAACACTTTTTATCATTCCTAGTGCATTGAGGGTCATTTTTGTCCTGGAAACGTTGTGTAAATTTTTCCTAATACATTACGAAGGTTGACAAACATTTGAAGTTCTGTGAATCTGTCCGCATCACTACGTCGTACCTGTCTTCACCTTAACAGATATCATCCTATAAAACACCTGAATTTATCGATCTATGGTGAGATCTGACGCTCGTATTTTTTTAATGTCGATATAATATGAGGTGTCTTATGATGTTTTTCACTTTTGCGGAAGTTAACCGACTCCAGAAATATCCAAGCGCGTTCGGTAGGGGCACAATCACTTTCATATGGCGTTTGTTGCGTTCAATTTGATGCAGTGGTTGTCGAGAATTTGATCTTACAATGGGATTCTTTCATTTTGATTTTTTTTTTCGGTTACTGTACATCATCGTTTTCTGAGAACAGCCATATTTTTTTCGATCCCATAGACTTCCATCTCGATTTTTAAATCAAGATATAATGCAAAATATCACATCGCTGTTGACACATAACTAACAAATTTACTGGGGAGTCCAGCGTTGCCAGATATACCGATTTATCGGTATTTATACCGATTCTCAAACTTGATACCGATATATAGATAAGGTTTCTCAGAATAGCGATTTTTGAGTTATGATTTTTGTTATTAATTATTACAATGATTACTGCCTGCCTGCACTGAATTGTCAGAAGAAACTATCGTGAGAGACTTTTGTTTTTATGAAAATTAAAATTTTTGGGCCTGCTCTAAAAAAATATCATTTTCAAAAATGTCTTATGCTTTTTTTTCCTTGATTTGGTTTCCGTGCTGAGCCCCAATGCTACCGACGTCAGGGAGGCAGCTCCCACACCTGGACCCTACCTATCGACCCATCAACTCATGGACCGGGCACCAACGGCAATACTTCCCTCAGAAAAACATCCCGACGGCGCAGAATGGGATTGAACCCAGGCCTGCTGGGCTGAGTGGTAATCACGCTTACCACTACACCACTGACGCCGCTGAAAATGTCTTATGCTTGATATCCTTTCGACTAATGCTTCCATTTCCTCGCCGTTTTTGGTTATGGAGAAACAGCTGAGGGTTTATCTCAGTAATTTTTGGAAATTGGGAAATACTTTCATTCAGTGGGAAAATAGGTCCATAAAAACGTTCATTTTTGAACTTCCTGAAATTCCTTTAATCTTCCCTTCGATGTTTCTACCAACTTTCCCTAGGAATTTCCGTCCACCTTAACGTGTAAGTTTTTTTTTCCGATTCCTCCCGGAAAGCTATTTCGTCTTTCCTTGGAAGCTTCTTCTGGTTTCGCTCGAAAGGTTCTTCCGTCTCCTCCCGTCAGTTTTTTCAAGTTCCCCGGAACTTCAGAGTTTTATTGCGGTTCCATTAGTTTCAGGAAAACTTCAGGAGCTTTTCAGAAGTTCTGAAACTACAGAATAGTTCGGACTTTTGGGTTGGTTCCGATAAATTAAAGACTGTTTCATTAACTTCTGTTCAAATCCGAGAACCCGGGAATCTCAGGAAAGCCCAGAGAACTTAAGGAAACTGAAATATTTTGGAAACTTCACAAGCCCAAAGAACTTCAAATAAATTTAATGGTTTTCAGGATAGTTCCATTTGTTTCAGGAAAATTGAGATAACTTTAGGGACATATAAATTCAAGGGAATTTTTGAACCTTTGAATGAGTTCCGGGAATTTCCGAAAACTTCTGTTAAGATCCGAGAGGTTCATGAAAACTTTGGAACCGTAAGGGAAGTTACATGAACGCTAGAAAATTGTGAGAACATTTTAAGGGAAGTTTTGTGTTTTTTATCGGCAGTTTCGAAAACTTTAAAATAAAATAAAAAATCTGGAAGTTCAGAGAACGTTAATGCTGATGTTCATTAACAAAAAAAAAATGAAAACGCTAATGAAGATCCAGGGACTTTAAAAATGATAAGAGATTTTCCGGTAGTTCCATAATAATCAGGGAAGTTACGAGTACTTCGAGGATGATCAGGGATTTTCAAAATAGCCCCAATAACTTTAGGAAAATTGCAAGAACTTTCAAGGAGTTCCGAAGAATTATGGGATATTCCAAAGTGCAATTCAGGAATGTTCCGAAAACTTCAAGAATATTGTGGGATTTTCAGGGCTGTTTTATGAATATCAGGAAAATTGCTGGATGGATAGACCATGTGAAGAACTTCAGGGACTATTGTGCTAACATCCCCCAGAAATCTATTTCTTCCAGATATTTTCCCACCTTCTCCTTGAAGTATCTTTCGACTGTTCCGTAAGCCCTCTGGTGTCCGACTTTTTTCAGAATTTTCTTCCAATCTACCTTAGGAAGTTTCTCCCAGTGTCTCCTGGAAGTTTCTTCCGTCTTCTCCAAGAAGTTAAATTAAAGTTCTACCGGATGTATCTATCGAGTTCTCCCAAAAGTTTCTTTCGTCTTCCTCTGGAAATTTTTTCCATAAGTCACTCTCCGTAATTTTTTTTTCCCGAGGGTCTCCTAACTTCCCCTGGAAAGGCTTCACCAGGATTGGCTTCCGATTTCCAAACTTTTCTGGCTTCTGCATATTTTCCGAAAGTTTCTAAAATTTTTTGCCAGAAGTTTCTCAATATTTGTCTTGGAAGATCCCCATCGGATGTCCTCCTTCTTAGATCTTCCTTCAAACTTCCTGCACAAGATCTTCTCTCAAGATTATTTCTCTGGAAGTTTTGTCGGTACCATTAAGAGACTAAATCAAATATTTCCCAGAAGTTTCTTCCGACTTACATGGAAAGTACATCTTTCAATTTTAGTTCAATAGTTTGAAAAAAAAAAAAAAATTAAAACTAATTAAAATAGTGAATACCGATAAATACCGATTTTTTAATCATTTGATACCGATAATCATGAAAAAAATCTGGCAACGCTGCTGGGGACACCGGGGAGTGCAAAATGTTTTTTTTTACTAATATAATCGCACTTATTTAAAGTGGTTCCAGTGCTCCAAAATTGATGAAACATTATCCAAAATTGATGAAATTTTGTATTTCGACTCATTAATTTTGGAGCACTAAATAAGTTCGATTACATTTAGTAACAAAACATTTTAGCGCCTCGGTGTTACTTTGTATTGGAGCGATCCTGTCAATTCGCTAGTTTTCTGTCAAACCGCTTTTTTTTTCGATTGGAACAGCTTTTTTTCAGTTTTGTGGTGACAGTCGTCCATACTTTAACTAGAGAGCTTTACTCTCTAGGAGTGCCGGAGCATATCCGGATGTCGCCAATTATGTTTTGGTGGGCAGTCACTTTGACTTCCGGTGTTCTTATTTTTGGAATCCTCATGTCATTTGATACGTCTTATTATAGGGTTGACATTTATTTAAGGATTTTAAAGCATGCATTTTGGTTATCAGCACTGTACATGCCGTAGTTTTCAAATGGGGCTCGGCCATAAAACCGAAGATCATTAGGCCAAATAGTCACTAGGTTGAATGGCTGTTAGGCCAAATGGTACCTAGATGGAATGGCCACTAAGCGGAATGGTCGGTCATTACGCTGAACCAAATTTGCGAGATTGATACATTTTCGAAGCTTTGCGAACCCATAGAAATATTTAAGTTTAAATGAATTTTGAGATTCTATGAATTTTGAGATTCTATGAATTTTCCGGTTAACCCTGAGTGACACAAGTTCTATCAAGTTCAGATTTGCAAAACATAGATTTTATTTTCTAGGCTCAAGCTTGGAAAAACATGAGAGAGCACTAGGACTTCCATTTTTCTGGAATAGCAGAAATTTAATTTTTTTCCTGAATTTAAAAGATTTAAGTTTTACAAATTGGCATTATTTTAAAAGTATTTTTGCTCCTCTCAATTATGGGAGTGTTTTCGAGTGTTACTGATATATGCAATATAATTATCGTTCCTTTTTTTTAAAGCTGCTGAAATATTATAAATCTGCAGAACTATATACTGCAGAACTGTACTAAAGCTGTGGGGAAAACGTGGAGACTACGACCGAATATGGTACACTGGATATATTCGGCCATAATTCGACCAAAAATTACCTGCTTCACTCATATGGTGGCCCAAAACAAATGAAATAACAAAAAAAGTAATGATTTTTTGAAAATTTCACGATTTTTACATTTACATTAAAAACACATGTTTTTCAACCGTGTATATTTTTTTAAGAATTGCATTTTAATTTTGCACAACTTTCTCGAAGACACCAATGCAATCAAGCAAGCCGTTTTTGCAATATAGATATGTTTATTTCATTAGTGTTTTTCTACACAGGCCCTATTGAAAAGTTAGGATTCATTACATCTGATACCATGAAAAGGTATCGTTACTAACAAAACTAAAAAATTCATTTGATGAATATTGAGCTAGAACTAAATAAAAGTGAAATGATGCTCAAACTAGCGATTAATTTTCTTTTTTATTCATTGTCTTCAATTTTGCATAGTTGTATCAGTGATCTTAACGGTAATAAGTGAAATACTCAACACTGTAGTAGTGAACACCAAAAACATCTGTCTGTACCTAATGTAGAAATTATACCTATCGATCTGATACTTAAATGAGTTTGAATGGTGAAAACAAGCAGTTGATCACAAAGATTGCTTTTTACCGCATACATCTTAAAAAGTTATCATAGGAAATAAGTGTAACACCATTTGGTTAAAAGGTAAGCATAACCTTCAGTTGTATTTCAATGAAATCATTTTTAAAGATTATTATTTTT